TAACTATAAGAGTCAGTCCTATCTATAACTTAGTCCTAACAATAAGAGTCAGCCTTAACTATAAGAGTCAGTCCTAACTATAAGAGTCAGCCCTAACTATAAGAGTCAGTCCTATCTATAACTTAGTCCTAACTATAAGAGTCAGTCCTATCTATAACTTAGTCCTAACTATAAGAGTCAGCCTTAACTATAAGAGTCAGTCCTATCTATAACTTAGTCCTAACTATAAGAGTCAGCCCTAACTATAAATTAGTCCTGACTATGAGTCAGCCCTAACTATAAGAGTCAGTCTCAACTAAAAGATTCAGTCCTGACTATAAGAGCCAGCCGTGACTAAAAGAGTCAGCCATGACTAAAAGAGTCAGCCCTAATAATAAGAGTCAGCCCTAACTATATAAGAGTCAGCCCTATCTACAAGAGCCAGCCCTAACTATAATGGCCAGTCCTAACTACAAAGGTCAATCCTAATTATAATGGCCAGTCCTAACTATAAGTCAGTCCTAACTCTAAGTGTCAGCCCTAACTATAAGAGTCAGTCCTAACTATAAGAGTCAGTCCTAACTATATAAGAGTCAGTCCTAACTATAAGGGTCAGTCCTATTAGAATCCGTCCTAACTATAAGAGTCAGCCCTAACTATAAGAGCCAGCCCTAACTATATAAGAGTCAGTCCTAACTATAAGTCAGTCCTAACTATTAGAATCCGTCCTAACTATAAGAGTCAGCCCTAACTATATAAGAGTCAGTCCTAACTATAAGTCAGTCCTAACTATTAGAATCCATCCTAACTATAAGAGTTAGTCTTAACTATAAGAGTTAGTCCTTACTAAAAGTCTGTGAAGTTTGTTTTATCCTATAGTTAAAAGACAAATCTGATCACATATCATGCAGAGGGTTCTTTAACGTGTCAGAGGTCATCCAGAAAAACTTCATCTTCAGACAGTTTGTGAGAACAAGAACTTCAGTTTGTGTGAGTTTAACTTCAGGAAGGTTTTTATGTCCTCCAGATGTCTGAAGTTTAGTGAACTGATGAGTTTCGTCTGATGGACAGCTAGATCTGAGTTATATCTGCAGAACAGGTGAGGTTTACAGAGAGAATTCTGATGATGGCACCCAAGGGAAACATTTATAAAGTGAACTGAAGTGGTCCGAGTACAGAACCCTGAGGAACCCCGAAACTGACTGTAGTATGATTCATCCGGAACATGAAGGAACTGAAATCAGTCAGTTTTGTCTTTGTCTTTGTGTCTGTCTCTATTTGTCTCTGTCACTGTCTCTGTCTCTGACCTGTCACTGTCTCTGACCTGTCTCTGTCTGTGTCTGTGTCTCTGTCACTACCTGTCTCTGTCCTGTCTCTGTCTCTGACCTGTCTCTGTCACTATCTCTGTCTCTTTCACTGTCATTGTCTCTGCCTCTGACCTGTCTCTGTCTCTTTCACTGTCTCTGTCTCTGACCTGTCTCTGTCTCTGTCACTATCTCTGTCTCTGTCACTGTCATTGTCTCTGCCTCTGACCTGTCTCTGTCTCTGTGACTATCTCTGTCTCTTTCACTGTCATTGTCTCTGCCTCTGACCTGTCTCTGTCTCTGTCACTATCTCTGTCTCTGTCACTATCTCTGTCTCTTTCACTGTCATTGTCTCTTTCACTGTCTCTGTCTCTGACCTGTCAATGTCACTGTCTCTGTCTCTGACCTGTCTCTGTCTCAGCTGGTCTCGGGGAGTTTAAGATTCGGGATCTAAATGATGAGATCAACAAGCTGCTGAGAGAAAAAGGACACTGGGAGGTCCGGATCAAAGAACTGGGGGGACCAGACTACGCGGTAAACATTTGATGTTTGGGAGGTGTTATTGATTATGTGTTGTTGATCATATGTTATTGAAGACTTATTGATGATGTGAGTTACTGATGATATACTTAGGATGTGAGATATTTATGATGGGAGTTATTGATGATGTGAGATATTGAAAATGTGAAATATTGATGATGTGGTTGTGTGCTGCAGCGAGTTGGACCAAAGATGTTGGACCACGAGGGGAAGGAGGTTCCAGGAAATCGAGGATATAAATACTTTGGAGCAGCCAGAGACCTTCCTGGAGTCAGAGAGCTGTTTGAGAAGGAGCGTATGTAAAATCTGTCTTTACTTCCTGTTTGACATCAAACCAGCCATCACTGTACCATCATCTGATTGGTCTTCTCTGATCATGTGACTGCTAGCTGCCCCAGCACAGAGGAAGACCAGGGCAGAACTGATGAAGGAAGTGGACGCAGAGTATTACGGCTACAGGGATGAAGACGACGGAGTGCTGCTTCCTCTGGAGGCGCAGTATGAGAAACAAGGTCAGATTATTTTATCATGTAGTGAGATGATTTTTTGTGCGTGTGGTCAGATTATTTTATTTAGTCAGATTATTTTATCATGTGGTCAGATTATTTTATGATGTGTGTGGTCAGATTATTTTATCATGTAGTCAGATTATTTCATCAAGTGGTCAGATTATTTTATCATGTGATCATTATTTTATCATGTGGTTAGATTATTTTATGTGTGGTCAGATTATTGTATCATGTGTGGTCAAATTATTTTATCATGTAGTCAGATTATTTCATCATGTGTGTGGTAGGGCTGCCACTAACGATTATTTTCATTGTCGACTAATCTATCGATTATTTCTTTGATTAGTCGACTAATCATTTCATGAAAAATGTCGGTCTGTCTTGCCCAAACCCCAAAATTACGCCATCTAATGTCTTGTTTCATACTCACGCCAAAGGGTTTCAGTTCACCGTCATGGGAGAGTGTGTAAAGCTGCTAATATCTGAACGTAAGGAGCTGCAGTAAGAGTATTTTGGGGTACTTTTATAGTACTTTTACATGAAAAATGACTCAAACCGATTAGTCGACTACTAAAATAGTCACCGATTATTTTAATAGTCGATTAGTCATCGATAAGTCGACTAATCGTGGCAGCCCTAGTGTGTGGTCAGATTATTTTTTCATGTAGTCAGATTATTTTATCATGTAGTCAGATTATTTTATCATGTGTGGTCAGATTATTTTGTCATGTGGTCAGATTATGGCCCAATTCCAATCCGGCCCCTAAAGACTCAAGCCCTGAACCCTCGTTGACTTAACTGACGTCAGCTGTAAGTGATTGAGTGTGAGAGTCTGAAAGGGCTCCAGATGCTACAAATAGGAATGGGACAGCACTTATCCCCCTCTCTACAAAATGTTGTTGACACTGGCAGCTCTGGGCGTGATCATTTATCAGTTATTGTCAGCATATATTCCACACACAAACAATATATATCTATATATATCTATAGATAGATAGATCTATACATATATATATATACATATATATATA